TGCTGGTACGTGCGCATGTAAAAAGCATGACCATTTATCTCCAAAATATAAATATGATATTGCCGCATGAATATGAGACCATGACATGCCATGCCTCAGTGAGGTAAATGGAACGACTTGTCAGCTATGGCGCCATTTTGGAAGTGACAGTCTACATATTAATTTTTTGAGGATCCTTCAAAGTTACATTTTCTATGTCTCAAACAACTTCTGACACTTGGAATTTTTTTTTTGTTCTTTTCTCCAGTATTTCAGACTTGTCATTCAATTGGACAAGTCACCACATGCTATTCTTTTTCCTCTGCAATTTCCACAGTACAGGAGATAATTGGCCACTGTAAAGATCTTGAAGAATCCTTGTGCAGGCTTTTAATAAAAACGTAGCAGACGAATCCAATTGTGGCAATCTCTGAATCAATTATTCAACAATAAAACAGATCAAAGGAAATCCGAAATGAAAAGTATAGCCACTAGGAATTCAGCTATTAATATGAAACTAAGATGTCCATCTCTTGATTTTAGCATCTCGTAATTAAGTCATGTGAATTATGCTAAAACTGAATTTTCAACCAGGTATTATTAAAATGTGACCAAACACAATCACCAGTACAATCCCAAATCACTGAAGTTTATCTAAATCTCTGATACTGACTTTGCAATTTTGCATGGTGCAATTTTTCCCACATTGCTTAGGTTTATAGTAAGATACTAGGACTTGAAATTATGAGAAAATTTGTCCGTTCTGGTTTGTACGGGTAGGAGGTGGTTATCGATCTGAATGGCCAGCTTGGACCGTACGGACGACCCGGTCCAATTACGCTCACTAGTCATTAAACACATCTCAGCTGTGTGACATCATCCTTCTTGCAATCCCATGCAGCACAGCCTGCATGTGTATGCTGTGCATATGGGAAAGGAAGTGGCAAGGTAGAATTAAAAGAAGGAAGAGGACTGGACAAAGAAAAAAGGCTGGGTAACCTGAATGACATTTGCACCGCCGATCCTCTCGCTATAAGAACCTGCACAGAACCACAGATTGATGTGAAAATCAATGGAAGTGCGGCCTTTCCCCCAGTATAATTGCTTGTCGCACTAATGAATCAATCTAGATGCCCTATTCTTTCTCGTAATCAAGGCTCCCACCAAACCATCCTCCCTAAATGTATTAGGGTTTTAATGCAATTACGGCAGATGTGCACAAGGCCACAGGAGAGTGAGCCAGCAGGAGAGCTGCCATATTGAATCATTTGCTCCTGAAAAAGCAAATAAATTATGAGGCTAGAGGTGAGATAGGACAACATGCTCAGAATAAACAATTATACTCAGGAGGACACAGATGCCTTTTGCTATTGCTTTTTGTTTCCTTCCTTTGTTTGGTCTCCATGGGGGAGGGGAATCATGGACAGGACCAATGTTTATTCTGCATTTTTGTCTCAACTTCCAAGTGTCTCATTCTGTCCAGTTGGGTATCATGCCTGTGATTGTGCCATCATCTTGATGTAATTGCGTGAAGGCATTTTATGACTCCACCCAGCTCATTCCTACCATCCCGATTTTGATTCAGTTTTGGGGGGCCCCTTATGATCAGGTTGCCCTCCTCCCTTTTAACATTTGAACACTCATAAAGTTGGTGACCTCGTGACCTCAAAGCCCTAGCTTAGCCAGACATTGGCTCTCCATGGGTGGCCTCTGTGTCTGGGACTCATTATGAAATGTCCAATTAATTGCAATGTAATGGCACAGACTACAAAAATTTCCCTGTTTCATTTGCCACATTGAAGATTTGGGTACTTAACATGTATATCAGCAAGCAGGCTATTTCATTCTGAAAAAAACTAATCATTCCAAAGAACAAAAAGCACAGGCAATTTAATCTGCAGAAATTGGTCGCTTGCCAAGGTATAGCCATTATTCATCTATTTGTATGGAAACCAAAACCTGTATGGACAACAAGAAACACTCAAAGACCCCCCCTTCCCGGGCACAGAAACTACACAGGTAGTTGTAACCAAGGAAAGGATTTTAATCTGAACTAAAATTAATTAAACTGCATTAATTCATGCTGTGGAGCAAGCCCAGGAGCAAAATTCATGAACAACTCCAGGAACTAGTCCCAGCCCATTGTGGGAGAGAAAGCAATTACACACCTACAAAGAAATAGACAAACTGATCGGCTGGACAGCCACCTATACAATACCTTCATTAGTTTCCATATTTATTGAAAATTAGAAATGGAATGCTCAAATCTATTGTGTCAACAATAAAACATCTTTCAGGTGTTCCGCCTCCAAAACAATATATTTTGAAATGACAGTTTCAGTGCGATGCACGCATTACATGTACTTCAATTGCCAACTTGTAATTAAACAAGAAATACTTCATTTTGATAACCTTGCTTACATATGCAGGAAGTCTAACTCCATGAAAAATATATGTATTACAATCCAGTTACATGTATCAGCATGTCGATCTGAGCGAGCTAACCAGGTCTGTGTACTTCAGAATTTCTACATTCTACGCATTCTATGCATGAACATTTTGAAACTTCAAACTCTATTCAAAAACAATAAAAATCAAAGCACAGCTGCAAGTGGGCATTTACATACACAGGTAAGGCCCCACCATATCAATATTTCTCAAGCAAATACATACCATTCCGTTATTAGTTTTCTACAAAGATATCACAATAATTGATTTCTTTTACCACAATGGTTTAGCTATTAACTACTTGTCACTGAAAGAAAATAATTCCCCTATAGATGAACACTACATGAGAACACATGATCCGTACCCACTCAACACAAAGCAAATATCAAAACACCCAAATCATTCTTCATTGAATGACAGTGCTCAAATAATTGTACTGACTGATGAGAAACCAGTACGGTGCATGTATGTAGGAATCATTACATAGGTTCAGTCTGACACTTTGGCATGGGTATGTCCTGTCTACCAGCATCCCATCGCATCGTTGCCTGCCTGCCCGAGAGAACCTACGTACGATATCCACCAGCGATGCCAGCCTTTCAGTAGGCCATGGAAAAAAAATACACAAAAAAATAAAAAATATCACAGACTAGGTTGTGCTAATATTGGCTCCGATTGCCAATCTGTACAGTGGATCTGTTGCCTGGGCTTGCCCTCAGCATGAGGTGAACATGCCATGCTGTGGCCTCCTGTCCTTACTGTCAGGAAATGCCACGGCTATTCACTTCAGGAGTTTGCACAGTGTAGAGATAAGGAAAGCCATACATGTACACTGTACTTGGTATATGTAATATACTGACAGTGGGGTACACACAATTCACATGGAAGTGGGTTACAAAAAGCACACATCGATGTTACTCAACATATTGTACATGTACATACATATGTACAACGCAAGGCACTAACCAGAGGTTTGTAGCAAAGGTCATGGTTCTTACCTTCCCCCGGCCCCCACAGGACTCTCCACACAAAAAAACAGGCACCCACACACACACCCAGACACACCAGACAGCAGTTGGCCTCATTAACCGGTGAACTAGCTTGCCCTGACTGACTGACAGTCAAGGAGAAAGAAGGGGTCCCGCATGCTCACACCACACAGATTGCTCACTGACTGGGTTGAGTGCATACACATACCGCATGCAGCACTAGCTGAATTCACGGCCCGGCCACAGCAGTGCTTCAGCATGCACAACAGCATCAACAATTAAGCTTGGGCGGGATGGCTTACACTCAAATCTTGTTTCACATTTGAATAAACACAAGTGAATGCCGGGCAGTGCAATTATCACCATGCCCACAACTAGGCCCTGTTTAAATCACCAACTACATGTACATGTATGTATTATTTACATTCCTTCATGTAGTGCCCCGGTGTTGATGATCACAAAGAGTAAAAGGCATCCTGTTCAGTATGGCCTTGTGTTATGCCATACCTTATCCTTGGCCATACCATTTTAGCTTGTATGTGATACTGATTTCATCTCCAAAAATTCTTGCCCCAACGAGCAACTGTCTCAGGTCATGCTAAAAGAAGGGGAGAGGGCAGAGGGGAGATTTCAATACTGGCAAGCATGCCAGCTACAAATGGTGTGGTGCACATATATGTAGAGGATCAGTAGAAATCGGAGTCATCAAATTGCACCAAATATTGATATTAAAGATGCTGCTGGTAGTCAACACATGAGGTGGGGGGAGCTGTGCTACTGGGAGGCAAAGGAACAAAGTGTGGCATCCTATGGACACTCCGGCAGGCACAGAGACAAGATTAGATGGCAAAATTGGCGCACCTGGGCTCTAGCTATTCTGGACAAAGTATTGGCGAGAGTCATGGACCAAAGATAAAGAAACAGAAAAACCACACTGACAAGAAAAAAATAATCAGGTGATAACTCAAACTCAAGTGTGGTTAACGGCCAAAGCCTTTCAACAAGGGTTACCACTATGGGTTTGTGCTGTATCCTTACCTAATCACCTTAATTGATATCATCTACATATGTAAATGATCTTATCTCCAAAAGCTGTCCTTTGGTGGAGCATTAAGCTTCCTGCAGTAAAGTAGTTGGTAAATGGGAGGTGTGGGAAACCTTAAGGGTTGAAGACAGTCGCTGGTAATAGCAGGTAGTTATTGATGTGTTGAATCATGGTTGAATGGGTGAGGAGGCCAAGAAACCTGCAGTGACCAGTTCCACTGGTTTCACCTGTAATGCGCTAGTTATCACGGAATCCATGTGCTGGAGCTAGAAGAGTGTGTGGTGTGGGAGATAGCCAACAGTCAGCCCTGATCTATGGGACTTTTAATGAGATGTCTAGACAACTCGTTATTCTAAATTGCCCCCAGAAAAAAAATTGAGAAACATCAGATGGTGAACATTAACACCCACCTTTTGTAATTTCTCTCGCTCTGAATCCCTCTCTGGATATCACATGCAATGGCATTCACATACCGTTCATGCAAAAAAGCACCTCCTTTCCTTTCTACCACACTGATACAATGGGGGGAGATTACTTACCTGTGCCACACACTAACATAGGTAGAATTAATGGCACTTGTAAGCCATAAAGAATTTCCTATGGGGTCATCAAACAAAAAAGGGTGTACAGCTAGCACACAACACTGAAAAGCCAACCTTGTTTGCATGTGAATGGGGTCCCCAAAATTGCTGAGTGAACAGAGCAGAAAGGCTTTATTCAAGCCGGCCAGGGCCTGCCTGCAAGTGCCTGTGTGTGTCTCTGCCTGGCCCCAATCAACATATGCAAATGCAATTAAAGCCCTTTGGGGTACTACAACCTTTTTTTCTGGGGGTCTTGATCAGTGTTGAAACCTTGAGCAGCATTCAATCACCCATATTACCTGGTTATCAAGGCAAAAGGGAGAAGTGGGAAGGAGGGCTAGACATGCTGGAAGCCTGGAGGGGGGTCAGTCCAGAGAGGGCTTGGGAAACTTTTCAGGAGCAAAGATGAGGGCGGGAAAGCAAACAATAAAGTAGAGAGGCTTTTCTTTGGTGTCATGGGGAATCATTTTGATATTGCTTGTCAAGACTAACTTGGCATGATTTATTGCAGTTGTGCAGCACAAGCCCTGAGCACATTAGCAATTAGGATGGATGCTGAACTGCTTGGAGTGTGTTGGGTGTGTCGGGTCCTAAGCAAATTCCATATAACTTGCTATAGCTTTATGACTCTGCTTTTTTTCATGATCCTTGAAAAACAAAACAATAAACTGCAGGCATCAAGTCTATCCTGGTTTCTGGTTTTAATAGACAGGTAGTGGAAATATATATCACATTTCACAGAACGCCTTCTGCCAAGTGTGATCAATTTACATACCACAGACAAAAATCATTCAAGAGATACTGAAATTACAACTGATATGGACGCAGTTTTCCTCATCGCCCAACTAACTGGTGAAAATTTTAATGTACTTTTGTTCTTCAAGACTAATTTGGCAAGCGAGTGCCTGCAGAACAAAAATAGCTTTACTGATGTTGAGAGGTGATAAGTGATGACATAGAAAGTCCAAATACCTAGGGGCAAATTTATGGCATGTTAGAGGAAAAATTACACCAGAAACTAACACTTCCCCAAAAGGATTTGGCAGGACACGGGGCACTGTTGCACCAACAGTTGAAACATGATTAAAACTTCCTACTCTTTGCTGGCTGAAACTACTACGCTTTAATTTGCCTATCCCCTAGCAAACCGAGACTTTGCACACACCCACGCACTACACACACGCTAATTTACATGTACAATGCCAAAAAAAATGGCTGAATGAGTAAGTGATGTGAGTGATGTCAAAACTGGGTCAAGACAAAAGGTTTGGCTGAAACACCCCCCCCACCATCACAAAAGAAAAAAAAACAAGAAAGGGCTTCAAACAATTTACTCCAGTACAAAACTAGCTCGGTCTGCATGAAAATTGGAACCCGTTCAAGCATGGCAAACTCTCAATGAGAAAAGAAAGCCCAAGTGCTGTATGCACGATTACAATAGTTTTCATCTAAAAGGCTAAGAGGATAGACGAGACAAAAGGGTCGGCAAACATTGCCAACGTGGGTCAAGTGCTACCATGGTAACAATAGGGAGAGCCACAAGAGAGGAAAAAAGGGGAAAATGTGTGCGTAAAGAAATTGTGGGCTTGCATGGGGGACACTCAGTGTGGCAGCATGGTGGAAATTCATGAGAGTGGAGTCAATGGTGGGCCTACATTCTGCCCTCTGTTGGCCGCAGAGAGCAAGGTTTCCAGGAAAGGTGCTTTATCAGCATGGTGGAATGTGGAATGAACAATTGATTCGTAAAAACTAAACAGGATGTAGAGTTTCAATTTTTAAGAGATGCTGAGAAGTTGAATGGAAAGACTGGCTGTGATGGGGTTACAGAGATACGGTGGGGCTCTTTTGTCTCAATAAACCCCACATGTATAGTTTACATGATGTTCTGTTGAATGTGGTTCAGTTACCCAGAACTGACATTAATTAAGAAGTTGTGAACATCAAATGATTGAACTGAGAGAAAAACTAGAGAACCTGTTGATAAAATTAAGTGCTTAGCTTCAAAGGTTTTATGCCTTGTCACTGCATTTTCCATCTTGTGCTTAAGCATCCCCCCTCCCCCTTGATCTTTTTGAGACAAAATATCCAATCCACAAATTTGACAAATCACATGAATGATAGAGTTTGACTCTTGAGGAAATCGTGGAAGTGTAGATACCATTACATTCACTTCTCCACCACCTCCCCCTTGAAGGACGCATGGAAATACCGACACTGTCAAAACAAAATCAACCTAAAATTGTCCACACAGGAATAGAAAAGGGGAACAATTTCACCCTTATTTCAGTCAGAAACCTGGCCTGTTCTGAAAGAGTGAAATCAATGGTAATTGCATTCAGCAAAGGACTTTTTGGTTAACTGACACGTGAGATTTTCATTCATATTTGGGTAGGACAGTATGCATAATGGATGAGACAATGTTCCAACAGGAGGAAAAAGGGTTCAGGGAAAATAGGTCTAGCTAGAGGTGGGTTCAGCTGAGGACAACAGTTTGGTGACTGCTCCTTTTTGGAGGGGTTCTATGAAAGAAATGTATGGCATAATACATCAAGTGAAAGCAGTTTCTAAATTAGGGCCTAATCATAAATGCCTGATTTGGTGTTTTGTCTTGACCACATTTTTGAAAGGCAAACACTGTTTAGAAGCCTCAACTGACTGAGTTATGATGACTGAAGCTACAAAATGCAAGAAAATTTAAATCTGCTCCAAAATCTGCTCTCCAAAAATAAAGAAAAAGACACAGTTTTACTTTCTGAAACACCTGATTTCACTTAACGTGTGAACGATGCAACAAAAAAAGTTTACTTGACAAAACTGGGAACAGAAAATTAGGGAAGCGTTTGTCTCTACATGCTCATACAGCACCCATTAAATTCTGAGGTAAATTTGTTTATTTTGTTCATTTCATCTCTCCAGATGTTATCTGAAATCTTTAAAAATGGCACAAACACAGACTGCCGCTTGCCCATCTGGAGTGCTGTAATATTAATTAAAGCTGTTGCAATTCTCTGAAGTGATGGATAATTGGTCATACCTTCCCATACCCCTCCCCAATAGCCAAACTCTCTAATTTGTGGATCTCTAATCAGTATTGATTTCAAAAGCTGATGCTGTTTTTCCCCCTCTCCCGTTACGCTGAAACATTAACATTTGAAAATTTGTATTGATTTGAACCTGCAGGTTTAGGTTTCACCCTTTTCTTGTCTCCTGGATGTGGTGCAAGGCACAGTTCCAAATTTCACTATTTGTATTTCATTTCCAACACAATTCCTTGGGCAGCAGAGGTAGCATCTGGTGCAACAAATGTCACAGGATTTTTCTTCTTTTTAAACAATTTCTTGACAATTTGTAGCATGGCAATTGAAGGGCCATGAAATCAGGATACAGTGCAGACAAAACAAAAATAAGGAAACAAAGATTAAATTGTGTTTACAATGTTGTGAGGCACAGTAAGCAAGGTACAATTTCATTGCTGAATTAATCTCGATTCCCTGCCCCCCTAAAAAAAAATCTAGCTTACCCTTGCCAAATAGGATAACACTAAGGATAACACTACGATGCTCCAGTTCATTTATCTAGTACTTTGTTGGATGTTCACCTCCCATTGCACTTGGCTTCTTTAATCTTTTTTTTTAGAAGGGAGGACCTTTTCAAGCACAGGAAAGAAGAGAGTTAGAGAACTGGGAGTAGGGGCCTCACCAACTTGTTACAATGGCAATGGTCCAATGAGACTGCCCACAAAATCACTTAACCTGATGAATGCGAACGTTCGGCAGCCACGTGACAGTACACTGCGGGATATTGGTCCAGCGTGGCATTTGCTGGGCTTTGGCCAACAATCTCTGCTCATTTACCCACTTCTCATTAATTTGCCTCAACTGCCACCAGGAAAGGGGATTCTAAGGGCATTGCCATGGCAACAAATGACTGGAGGAGATAAGCTCCCATTTTTATTTGGAATTATTAAAAAAAAGTGGCATAGAATTGCAGGGTACGATTTGGACAGGGGTGCCTCTTATGACACAGTTTAGAGCTGAAGAAAATTGCATTAGGACCATAAGTATAAATAAGTCATTTCTGAAGTTATAAATTAGCTGGATGTAGGTAGGAGACAGGAAGCTCACAATGGGTTTAATGCATCTGGCATAACAAATGGTGCGATAGTGTACACTTTATTCGGGCTCGCCATGACCTTACATGCTAGTTAACATGTTGGAAAAACTCTGTGATATATACACAGGGTAAAAATTGGAATTATACAAAGAGGTCAAAACTTAAAAAGAAAAATCCTCTACAAATCTGTGGCAACAATGTTTTCTCAGGTGTCATTAAAGCAATCAGTGAAGGAAGCTTGATGAAGAGATTGTGCCAGACAAAATGTTAACAATCTAGCTCTTTATCTTTGGGCTTTGTTGGGAAAAACCTTGGAGCCATTTGTGAACAACTCATGCGCTTGCAATGTCAATTTTGTTTCACCTGCAGAGGGTATGGAGACAAAGAAAAAAATACATGCAGATTCTGATACCAACTGAACATGAATTATACCTTCACAAATTATGTTGAAATGGCCCAAATGCTTAATTAGCATTGTTGAAAATGGACAGCCATAACATGCAACACCGCGGGGGAAAAGGGAAAAGCTGTTTTAAAATGCATTAAATTAACAATTTACTGTCCCACCATGGACACCTGAATACGATGCTGCACTGTTGACACTTGTTATTGCAATGGTATAGGTTTAAACATCACTATGGAAACCAGAGTGTGAAAAATTGATATATGAATAATGTAAAACATGCAGAGAGCAGAGTGTAAAGGGAGACCCACATACATGTCTAATGTGATTCAAAATTATGGCAGGCATATGCGGAATGATTAAAAAAATAAAAAAAAAAACCTGCTCAGGAAGCATGCTATGACATTTCCTAACATACTTTTTTAATACACGTTTCGTGTCACACCTTTTTGGTGATATCAGGATGTGACATGGACAATATTAAAGTTGTGCTATAATTAAAAACCAGGAGGCTGTGTCTGCAGTGAACTAGTGGCGTAGAGGGAGAAAAACCACCAAACTAGTATTTTTCTTACAACGGAAAGTGCATGGACAGCAATAAAACTCAGACTGGACAGAATCTATATTAATCCTCCAACTCAAATGAAAGAGAGAGACAGAAAAAAAAAAAATTCTTCACTTAGGGTCCTCTCCACGCCCGACACGGCCCTCTTTGTAATTGTTGGTAAGGACCGCATAGGCTGACTAAGGCACATGCAAACTTAATTACCTCACCCCCATCACCATGATCATCTGATATATTCAGGTCAGGCAAGATGAAAAATGATACGGGAGTCGTTGATAATGAATTTGCACACACACACAAAAAAGAGGGGGGGAGGAAGAGAGATGGAAGAAGGGACTGGTTGGTTGGAGAAAAAGCTTAGGCCAGGCTTGCTGGGCCAGACAACTGCAGGCCCAGGAAAGCCAATTAGGAGAAAGGAGTGTGCTTGCACTGCAGAGGTTTGAAGCCATAAATGAAAGCTGAGGGACCTTATGGCAGAATGCATGTAATGTAAACAATCCAGGCCATTAAAGCTGGCAGCCCTTTAAAAAAATAGAACCAGAAGAAGACAAGCTCTCTTCTTTTTCCCCCTCAATCTCTGCGAGTCACACTCTCCAGCTTGCAGGAAGGAAAATTACCAGGAATTAAACCAGTGTTATAAATCTGTTAGTTGATTTGCTTATGGGTTGATTACACTACAGACAACTGGAATGTGGTCTTGTGCCCCGCCAACAACTCCAAGCATCCCCCAACACAAGCTGCCTCTGGGCAGCCAGCAGGGACCAGGCTAACTGAATACCTCAGAGGGTTGACCTTAGAGCAAGGTCAGGCACAAACAGTGGTGGGTAAAAAAGGTACACAAATCTTTTTGCAGCAGACATGCCACGCTGTGTGGTGATCCAGCTGGTAGTGATTTCCTCTCTTGAGTCATTTGGACTGAGAGAATGAGAGTACCTAAGATCAGAGTAGAGGGCCGACTGGGGTTGGTGTCTTGTATGGGTCATAGAGGAAATATTGGTGGCTAGTTTTGTCTGAAGAGGAAAAGCCTGCTCCTCTGCTATATGGACAATCTTGGTGCTGACCCTGTTGTGTGATTACTCCTGAAAACCACTTACGTGCCATACTGTCACTTCACTTCACCTAGCTGGCCTAGTCAGAGTTTGGTTGGCCGTTTGTCTTCTTACCAATCAAACAAAACAGGACAGCACCAATTCTGTAAACAGATCTTTAGCCACATCTTTTGAAAGGGTAACCTTCATCTTTAACTTCTACAGGAGGTGAATTATCTGTTTCTTTATTTTAAGAGAACTAAGACCCGGTGCTGACTGTTAGAACACCGTTTGGAATAAAAACTTTTGTGGCATCATTTGTTATGTTAAAAATTCACTGCATCCACCTTAAAAAATGCTCTTTCAGAAAAAGGCATTAAAGTTCATATTTACCTTTCCTTTTTGGACATGTACAGAGTATCAAGAGGGGAGGGTTACAAAGTACATTCACCTTTTGCACAACCCTCTTCAACCCCAAAGATGACCTTGTACAGGTGCCCACAATTGGTAAAAAGTATGGCCCCTAATTGTCCAAGCCATGAAGGCAACCATTAAAGAACATAAAAGTACAGATGGCCCTATCTACCTGCAAGAACTTGTCTCCTTTTTGCACATGCCTTGTCGATACATTCATTTGGAACTGTGTAAAGAGAACAAAAACTGACAACCACAAGGGAAATGGGTGCCATTAAGTTGAACGACAGAATCCCCACAGAGCTGGAATATGTTTGGACCAAATTGCATGCTAAAAAAAATCACTGTAAAAACAAGCATGTTACAAGCAAGCAGCCCGACTTCACCCCAAATCAGATACGCCTCACTCTACCAGAGCATGGACCAAAATCATCAGCGATTCCACAGCCAAAATAATGTGTTCGGGATCATGTTACAACTGCTGTTTTCACAAAGTCACCCCAGGAGAATTCATTAATATCTTGGCGGTGCAGAGCTTTATTTTGTTTTTACATGTACGCCCAACCAGAACCCAAGCCGCTGCTGCCGTTAAGTTGTAAAATAATGGCAGCAAATGGCCGGACTCGAAGGACGCACTGCGGAATTTTGATTGAATATGGACAGGGAATTCTATATATTTGTCCATATCCATTAAGAATGAAGTACACGCAGGGTGTCGTCTTACAGCAAATGCTGTTTTGCCAATACAACGGCATATCATTCCAAGTGTGACCTCATTATTATGATGCATTAAAAAGTGCTTCCATAGGAAAGAATGAAGGAAATAAAAATGGGAAAAAGACAGTCGTCAGATTGGGGTTTTTTTGCTATGTATTTCCTGAACGCCAAGTAAATACCTGCCATTACTATTAACCACCAATGTTCAGATTTGTCAAGGTACGGTGGGCAACGTCAAGCACACTTGCATGAAATGCCAAGCGAGGGAGGGAGGGAGGCAATCGCAACAAGGGAGAGAGGAAAAGGAAAGAGGAAAGAGAAAAAATACTGGGAGGGGAGGAGGACAGATGCAGGCAAAGCAGTTCGTGCCCCATTACGATTACATGCTAATGCGCAGCGTTGAGCAAACACAGCGGCCGCACTGTACCCACTGTTTTGTTCCACAGCTGAATGTGTTCCGCATGTGGCTAATACTTTGCCCCCCCTCCCCCTTACCCAACTGTTTTCCTGCCAAAGGCTGAATCTGTTAACTTTTTAATAATTCACCCAAAAACACGGAATCCCAAAATGCCAAAAAACAAAACAAAAGAAAAAAAAAATACAAAAAATTATGAAGGTTGTTTTTACCCATAAGGGGAAGACTAAATTCCAACGACTGTACAAAGAAACAAAGACATGGAATGATTCCAATCTGGAAATGACTAGATGGGAACTAAATTGATAAGAAATTGTAAACGTTTTTCCCCCCAAAAAATTAGTATCACAAAAGTAATCCCTCAAAGAAAAATGACTTCACTGATTTAGGAAAGTCTCCCTCCTGTACAGAGTAACACATTTGAGGGAAGTGAGCATGAAAACTATGATTCACCCTGCTGCAGCTTGTGCATTATCATATTGCAATCCATCCAAGGCTGACTTTCAATTACATTTGTGATCTTATAGAAACACTGGACAAGATATAAATATTACTCAACCAACACAGGAAAAAAAACCCTGGCGAACAATATGATTTTTTTTTTTGAAGTTCAAATAGCCATTTGTTTGCGAGTTGTTGGCAGAGTGAAATGAAGGGAAGATGTCCATTGCACAATGGCAGGTCAACAATGCAACACCATAATTAGAGATTATATTTGACTGACGCTACAAGGTAAGAGAGATTCACCACACATTGTGCATGATCTGTTTGTGGAGCAAGCCTTGTCATATTAAGGCAACTGCATGAGTGTAGATCTGACCGTAAATGCTACTATGCGGTGTCTACAAACAGCTTTATCACGGGTGAGATTGGTGGAATGGACACAAATCCATGAAACATCCAGCACAGGGGTTTTCAACAATGATATCACTAAAATACAGTGACTTTCCGCGGCTTGTAATAACTACTGCAGTCATGGGTTTGTTCTCCACTGGCTATGGTTGTGAGAGTCCTGCACTTTAAGTGCGCATAGCTGTTCAACCAGAATGATGAACACTCTAAAATCCCAAATGTTGAGGTCAAAATTCCTGCAAACCAGACAAAATCATGAGAAATCACACCCACGGTTAAATGGGGGAAAAAATGAAACAATTATTTGACAAATGTCAGATTTTGAAATGTTTCTTTCTTCTACCATTTAGAAATAACATGACAAGTTTTGAATGTTTTTCAAGAAAAAAAGAATAGGGCTTTAAAGAATGGATGTCAAATGTCACATTATTTTTCTCTGCAAAGTTTCCATTCAATTGCACTTGTAGTCTGCAGGAAATATAGGGCTTTAAACGCTGCACCTTTAATGTCACATAACTTGTCACTCCATGACGCCATCATCACAACGTCAATTTTTGTCTTTGATACATCCCTTTCAAAATATCTGCAGTTTCAACCCGATGGGACATGTACTTCAGGAGATAAAGGGCTTTTAAGAGTCCACACTTAATGTCACGTGACCTGTCACATGATGTCATCATCCCATAAGGGCAATTTTCATCTATAACCTTTCCCTTTCTAGTTATCTGCAAAGTTTCGACCCAATGGGAAACTACCGGTACTTCAGGAGATGTAGGGCTTTGAAGAGTGCACCTTTAAGGTCATGTGACTTGGCATCTGATAGCGTCATCATCACATGTGGTCCACTTTCGTCTTTGATACATCCCTTTCGAAATATCTGTAAAGTTTCAACCCAATCGAACATGTACTTCAGGAGATATAGGCCTCTGAACTTTGCACCTTAAATGCCATGTCACATGACATGTGGTG